CTTTAAAAGGTATCTCGTTAATAAACCGTAATTATCGCGGCATTTAAGTAGCGTGCTATAATCGGGTTCTAATAATATAACTTAGTCGTCTAGGTAGCGTTAATCGATTTTCTAGTAATCTAGTTTTATACTTAGGTAGGGTTTCGAAAGTACTTATCCCTTAAACCTAACTAAGAAGGCGTTATATTATACCTTTATCTAGAAGTATATTATATAATCTAGGTAGACGTATAATATCTATAAAATATACTTATAGTACTTATAAGTAAGTAGTATTTATAGATCGTCTTTAAATTCTCCTTATAGTTACTATTCTTATTATAAAGCTATAAAGGTATCGACTACGGCGATAGCTATAGCGTAGTCTCCTCTATATAGTACCGTTAATATCGAATTAATATAGCTTACTAGTTTTCTATAAGAATTTAAAGCGTTTATTAGGTTCTAATTTTAAGTATTTCTTTAAATTCTTTAAAGTATAGAGCGTGTTCTCTAATCGTAGTATTCTCCCTTAGTAGCGAGGGTAGTAGTATAAGTTCGTTCTTATCTTTTATTTCTCTAAGTATTTCTTATTTTTTAGAGCTTATATCGTCGATACTTCGTTATTCCTCTTTAGGTAGTTATCTAAGTTTTATAAGTATAAGGGCTATATCTATATCTTCTTTATTATATTATTTATAGACTGCCTATTATTATTATCGATTTTTATTTTATATATCTTCCTAGAATTATTTACCGTTCTTCCTAATCTAGTTTTAAGAGACTCCTTTAAGATAAGAGTATTTTAGTTCTACGAATTTAACTTATTTCTATATTTTAAGATCCCTTTATTATATTATTATAAGGGTCTTCTTTAATAGCTTTAAGAACTATCCGGTACTATTCTTATCGCTTAAGTATACTATATATTCGTCGTCGTAGTATATAGTCTAACTAAGGAGTTTATACTTTAGTTCCTATCTATTAATAGCGTTTAAGTATTTCTTACCTTTTAAGGCTAGTACTTAGTAGGTTTTCTTCTCCTTATAAGGTTATCTATATTCTTTAAAGTAATATCTATATTTCCTATAGTTAAAATACTTTCTTTTACTTTTCTATATTATATTTAGATCTATCCTACTTAGGTTAGTTATATAAGCGTAGGTAATAGGAGTTTCGCGCTTTTTTTTATAGTTAGCGCGTCGGTTAAAATTATTCCTATAAGAAGGGTTTTAGTTTCCTCTTCCTTATTTCCTTTTTTAGCGTCGCGTATACTATCTATCGTTAATTTATACTACTATAGCGATATAGTTTAAGAGGCCGTTAGGTCGATCTTCCTTATAGAGTTCGTCCTTAACTTCTTCCTTAAGTCTATTATAGAATCGCGATATAAGGGGTTCGTCGTCTTATTTAAGTTTTAAGGTAACTTAATAGAATTTAGTAGTATAGTTTAATACTAAGGTCCTTTATTAAAGTTCTCGAAGTTTCTATTTAGCTTCTCGTTCTTCGTTGGTTATTTTAAATACCTTAGTAATAGCTTCTTCGAATCCTTAGAAACTAGTAAAGACTTTATCTATTTTACTATTTCGTTATACTAGTTAGTTATCGAGATAGTCCCTTATAATAGGTCTAAACTAAGCGAGTGCTGTTTTAGATAAATAATTTCCTACGTAGAGTACCTTTTTAACTAGGTTTAAAAGTTTCGTTAAGTAGAACCGGTAGTAGGCCTTAAGTTAAGTAAGAAAGTCTTAAAGAGTACTATAAGTACCGTCGAATAGTCTTAGCTACTTTAGTTTAACTGCTTCTCTAAGGTCCCTAACTTATCTATTACCTCCTCCGTTCTTAAGTAACTATACCTTATATCGAAGGGTAATAATCTCGCGTATTATATCCTAAGGCGATATAGTAGCTCTAGAGTTAGTTAATCTAGCTTACTATATAGGTATATTAATAGTTACGATATTACTTAAAGTAACGCGGTATTATATTAAATAAGAGCTTTTAACGTATAACGACTAGTATTATTCCTAAGGGATAAACCTATCGAGGGGTTTATATTAGTAGATATAAAAAGGCGTGGTCTAAGCAATAATAAGTATATTACGTTAGTAATAAGTCGGAGGTCGTAAACTATAGACTATAACTAAGTAATTAGAATTAGAGATAGAATCGTAATAAAGATCTATATTAAAAGCTAGAGAGCTATCTATCTAAAGGAGTAAAAGTAGGTAGCTATATATACCTATAGAGACTGTCCTTAGATTATAGGCCTAGCTATAATCCTTAACGTTAGATCGTATAGAGCGAAGTAATCCTATTAATCCTAGATTACTTAGATCTCTACGATCCCCTCGATCCTATATCTATTAAATAGTCGTGCCGACTATTTATCTATTAGACTATGTTACGTGCTTAACGCGGTCGACCGTTAGCGGCCTAGTAGCCGTGGTCGTAATACTTTATTATAGGTCTACTTAAAGTATAGTATAATAGATAAGACGCTAATACGATCCTAGTAATTATAGATCGATATACTAAGTATTACCTCTTCTTTCCTATCTCTAATATAATAATAGCTCTAGAGCTGGTAGAATTATTCTATTACTAAGTTAAATTAATATATAGACCTCCGAAAGGTATTATTTTAGATAAAGGGTCTTTATTTATAAGTAAGTTTTAGTTAGATCTTTATTTTATCTTGTAAGTAAAATATAAGCTATCGATAGTATTTTACCTATAAACTAATAGGTAAAGAAAACGAATAAACTAAGCTATATAATACTACTTAAGATACTTTACTAACTTAGAATAAACTAACTAAGCGTTACTCCTATATATTACTTAATTTATATATAATAATATAAAGAACGTAATAACTAGGTTATTACCTATAAGAATATACCCTTATATTCCTATTTTACTATTATAAAGAAATAATAGGCATAGGGAGGCTTTATAAAATAAGCTAGTAAAAAGAGGTTCTATAATATAGTTTAAGGGAATAACCCTTAAAGACAAAGACCTCTACTAGATATCTATACCTTCCTCTAGGAAAAGCGGGTTAGGATAAGCCTATCCTTATAAATAAAAATATATATAAAATGCATAAGTTAATTACGAGTAGAACTAATACCCTATTACCTATTTTGGCCTAGTAGTTCCGAAGGTATCCGCGATATAAGAATAGGTAGGGCATAGAACATTCTAGTTAAATCTACTACTTATACTAGAACCTATAGTCTTACGTTAACCATAACGCTATAATTAGACCACTTACTAAGTTAGGAAGATATACTATAGATAGAGCTTTTTAAGTACTATAGAATATACTAGAAAGCTAACTAATTAGTCTACTAGTAGGCGAGCAATAGTCTATAAAAGACAAAGGATTTCCCTAGGAGTAGTAGATAGAATAAGTAAGTTTATAAGTATCCTTTGCAACGCTATTCTTTTAATATATTATTCAGCCCCTTATATACTCGTTATAAATTCCGGACGAAATCCTACCCTATACTACTTCGACCGATCTTTCCGCTTACGTTATCGATTACCTAAATCTAGGCTTATTACTTATACCTTCTTATATTACTTAATAAAGCGTTAATAGGTTACTAACTAAACTTTTCTATTAATACTAATGATAATATTATTTAAAGGGAGGTACCTAAAGTAAGAGTAAGAGTTACTAGGCTATAAGAGCTATAAAAGAAGCTTAAGGAATACTAAGGAAAGGCTATTAAATCGTAAGTAAAATACTATAATTTAAGGTACTAACCGCTTATACTAAAAGTAAGAGACCTTATAATACTATCGATAAAGAACTTACGCTTTAAAGACGAAAAAAGAAAACTCTTACCTAAGTATATTAAACCGTTTTAGGTCCTATAAGCTATTAAAAAGGAAGTATATCGTCTTATACTCCCTAAAAAGTACTTATACCTTTATAACGTTTTTTATATTAGTCTCTTAAAGCTATAAAAGGATAGAAAAAGCACTTATAAAGATAGCGAAACCCTATTAATACTAAACTTAAAGGATAACGAAGGCAAATAAGAAGTCTAAGAGATTAAAAACTAAAAGAAATCTAAGGGTAATACCTTTTTCCTTATTAAATAAAAAGGATAGCTAGCTAAGTATAATTAATAGGTCGATGCTAAAGATATAGCAAATAGCTAAGACCTTATTAAAGAATATACTACTTACTTAATAGGGAAAAAGAAGCGTAAGACTAAGTAAGGTAAGGAAACCTATTAATATAAAGAGACGCTACTAAATCGGTAACGAATCCCTATTAAATTACTACTAACTTATTAGTATATTAGTACGCTTAAATATTCTATAACTATATATAAAATAGTAAAATAAGAGAATAAGGGAAAACTATTTATACTACCTATTAAATATTATTAAGGAAAATAAAACTAAACTATAACTCTATTAAGACCTTAATAATAAAGGAGAGAAGGATAGTCGTAACTAAATAAAAGAAAGATAAAACTTATCTATTACTTTTAACTACCTCTCTTCTTTACTAGCGTAGCGGGAACTAACTAAGGCGCCCCTTCTATTATACTAAATACCTCTAGAAATACTAAAACTACCTTATCCTCCGCTCCTTTCTTATCCTCTATATTAAGACCTATCTCTATTAGTATAGTACTTACCTCGGCCTTAGTAAAAAGTAAGGTATATTACTATAAAGTATAGCTTATATCGCTATCGATAAGGTAGAGTTTTAACTAGGATTCCTAGGCCTAGTACTCCGGGCTTATATAGGTAATATTAAATAAGGGCGCGGGGTTAAAGTAAATAATAAGCTTATAGCGCTTATCGGTGGTGCCCGCAATTGCGTCGTAATTCACTTAGACCACGTGACCACTTATTGCCCGCAAAACGCCGCCCGTGAAATCGTGTGCAGGACGCCTGATAAGTGCATTTGATAAGTTCCCACCCGACTTATCGGGTTTCCGGCCAACCGAGCCCAGACATTCGCCCGTAGGAAGGTTGCCCGATCGACCGAGATGGCCGCGGACGACTCGTACACGGCAGCTGACGAGCGCGCCCCCGCCCGGAGGGCGGCATCCAGGCGAAGAAGGACGAACAGCCGGCGAACACGACGCGGAGTTACGCGGCGAAGCAGCGGAGTGGAAGGCGCGTCCCCGGCCGGTCCTCCACTTCGATCCCTGTCACGTACGGCCCCAGGCGGCTAACAGACAAATGCGTATAGGCCTGGTGCCATACGCCTCGGGCTGCAGCAGACGGCTCGCTCTATAGCTGGCCCGACGGCGAGCTCGTAACGCCGGACAAGCTGGCGGCGTGGCTCAAAGAGGATATCCTGTTACGACGCGTTGTGCCGCCGCAGAAGAAGAAGCCGCGCGCGCGGGGTAAGATTAGGGGCAACGGCAACGGCGAGGCCGTACAGGTACGGCAACAGCGCGAACAGGAGCAGCTCGAGGCCGCGGCCATGGCAGAGGCCGAAAGCCTGGCCGAAGCTTTGGAGGTCCCCCTGGCCGAGGCCGCCGAGCTGCTCGCTGACGACCGCGAGGGCTACGTGCCACCCACAGGCCTCGCGACGGCTGCAGTAGACCTTACCGAAGGGTCTTTGCTTACGAGGGGCACTATCGACGCCTATATCGCGGCCGTTATCGAGCTATGGAGGCTCCAGGTGGCTCACGGCAACGCGAATACGGAGAATCCCGGGGCGCCGCCGTACGAGGATTCCTTGAGCAACGGGGCCGCCAGCGGGGGAAGCACGACCGCGCCTCCTTTAAAGACCGCGGAAGCGACGGGATCCAGGCCGGCTACCTCCGATGAATGGCTTCGGATCCAGGATCTCCTTCTCACTGGCGCCGCGTATACGCCGCAAAACCTCCGTACGCGAGTCGACCTCCTCTTCGGCCACTACTACCTCTTACGGGGGGAGAACCGGCGCAAGATGGAGCTTGCAGACCTATCCCTACTCGACTATCCGCCTTCGGAGGCCCGACCCCTGTGGTTGCCTGGTAAGCCTTTACGGGACGGCAAGCTAAATAAGACGGCGAGGAAGGAGTTTATGGGCGCGCTCCGGCACAAGGACCCCTTATTCTGTACGCAAGGGCCTAGCACAGCTCTTCTTTGGCGCTGGCACGTCGCCGGCGAACCCCCGTCCTTCCGGCGCCGTCAGGACTGGTATCGGATCAAGGTCCTCGTCGGGCGGGACCGCGAGCAGGAGCTCGTACCCGACACAGCTACAAGAGACCTGGCGTATCTTCGGCGCTGCCGGCCTTATCGCGTCGAAGAAGACGCACCTCCCGCGCAGGGTGGGCGCCCAGGACGCGGAGACCCATGGCACGTCGCTCGCCCAGATCTCGCAGGCCGGCCGCTGGAACCAGAGCGTGCTCTGCCAGGCATATCTTACGCACCTACCGCGGCAGTTCATGCGTATCGTCGCCGGCTTCTCGGCCTCCCCGGGGGACTACTTCCTCGCGCGTGCGGCTCACGAACCCCCGTACGTCTTACAAAAGCAGCTGTGGCCGTGGATCGAGGAGTGGGAACCCGCTTTGAGGCGCGCGCGCGCCGGCAATGCTGGGCAGAAGGCGGTCTCGACGACGACGACCCAGCCGCTGACGGCTTCCTTAAGCTGCGCGGCGCCTGCGTATAGTACTTCTGCAGGACCTGGCCGTCCTACAGCTCCGCTACCCGTCGCTAGCGTTCTTCGCCTACGCCCCTTTGGCGGGCCCGAGTGGGACGAGTTCGCCGTCGCCGTGCGGTCCACCGCGGTAGGGGCTATGGAGCCGGTAAGCCTGCTCGTACGACGCGCGCTGCCGGAACTAAGCGGCGTCATAGAGAGCACGCGGGAGGCCCTGTTACAGAATAGTCAGCGGCTCGCCATCCGGCTTGAGGCCCGGCTGGACGGGATTCAGGGCGGCCTCGATGCCCTCCTCCAGGCAAGGTCCTATCACCTTTACCGGCTACTTCGGAGCCGGGTCAGCAGAGGCGCTGGCCCCAGCCCGGCCCCGGCCCCGTCAACAGTACCTACCTTGAATCTCAATACAGCTCCGGCCGGCCCCGGCCCCGCCCCAGAGCCTCTGGTACCAGGCATGCCTATCGTCACAGCCCTGGCAAGGGTCTTTACGGTGGGGACGTCTGGAAGGAGTGGGAGGAAGGGTTTGCAGGTCAGAAGGCCGTACGGGAGCTGGAAGAGACGTGGGAAGCCGCTGGCGCCGGGGAACGGGGTCAGAGTGCAGTTCTGTCGCCGGAAGGTGATCTGGGACGAGCTGTTGGCCCGTATGGCGTCCGGCAAATGCAAGGAGGCGGCCGTTGCAGAGCTAGAGCTGTTACGCGCCGGCCGAAGCTTGAACCGACTCGTCGACGAGCTCAAACAGCGCCGACGGCGGGGCCAGGATCGGGGCCAGGGCCAGGGCCAGATACGGGTACAGGTAGGGACCCCGTGCCCGATGACCCAGGTCCAGGCCCGGACCAGGTCCAACTCGAGGTCAGGGCCGTCGGGGCGGAGGACCCGGCTGGGAAGCGGACCGCCCTCGTCGACGTAAGCCAGCCGCCTCGTAGAGTCTTTATACATATTTATATCCATGTAACTAGACATATTTTTGAGGATCAAAGGGCCGTAGGATCAGTGCATTACTATCTCGCAGTTCCTGTAGCCGAGCCTAGCCCCCCCATTACCCATTCGCGGCGCTGCAACGCAAATATCTCGACGGACAGTAGCCTATACGGGTGCTCCTCGACCAAACGCGCCGCCGGGTGGATTAGTCCCCAGGCCCCGGAATGGCCTCGATTGGGCTGCTGGCCGTGGAGATATTCGCGTGCGCGGCGCCGGGCACTTATCAGATGGTAGATATGTAATCGCATACGATTTCCCGAAATTACTCCGCAAATCGACCCCACGATAAGTCCTGCTTATTAATTAGCGTATAGTAGTCGGTACGCTTAACCTAGTATATTATTAAGCGGTCGCTAATAAAAGGGTTAAATAAAACTTATAATAGTAGACTTTTATATACTTATAGTCTTAAAGGACTTATAATAAGCCGTCTTAGCGGAGTTAAAAGCCTTAGCTAAATACTATACTATAATAGTAAGATAGCGCTAATTAGCCTCTTTAAAAATAAGCACGCCCGCGTTTAAGCTATCGTCCTTAGTATCCTTATTACTAGTCTTTAGCTTATTAAGCTTACGTAAGTACTTAATAATAGTAACTATATCGGCCTAGTTACTAAATATAAAAGTAGCGGCTTTAAAAAGGATTAGCTTATTAATTATAATATTTAAAGTTAAAGGGAAACTTACTTAGTTATAGGTCGCGGTATATTTATAGTACTACTTATAGCGCGTTAAGGAAACCCCTAAGAAAATATAGCTAATTAAGAGCACTTTAATAGGCTTAGGCTTAGTTATACTATACTCCTTAACAACCGTCCTAAAATAATATATATACTAGAGCTTATAAAGGATAACCCCTTAGGCCCTAACTAAGTAGGCTTTAGCCTTAGATTAAGTACGCTTCTTTATAAGAGTATAACTATCTTATACCGCTACTTAAGTACCCTTATTTCTAGCGCCGCCGTTCTTAAGTTTATTAGTAAGAGAAGTTAAATTATAGCCGTTTCTATTATTACTATTATCGTTATCTTAGCCCTCGTTTAGCTATGTATTAAGATAGTCTTAGCCCTTATTTAGCTAGGCCTTATTGTTAATATTAGCCTACTTATTTTAAGGAGCGGCCTAGGCGATAATCTCTTATTAGCTAGAGCCGCTTTATTAAGATAGAGTAGCTAGGTTATCGGCACTTACCTAGGAGCGCCTAAGTATAATCTCCTCGTTAGTATTAATATCGCTAATAAAGGTAATAGACTTATAAGTTTCCTAGCTTATAGAGGTAGGCTTATCGATAGCTAGAGTTAAAGTATTTAGCGGGGTAATAGGGGCACGACCCTCGCTAATATTAGGTCTTAGACTAAAAGTCTCTTAAGACTAGGATTCCCTTATACCTTTCTTAGCTTTCTTCGTTAAGGGGGAACTAGCGTTACTATAAGACTTTTAGGCTAATCGCTTATACTTTAAGAGCAAACCTACTACTACCTACTCCTATATATAGCGTAGGAAATCGGCGTTATAGTTCTTTATCTTTTTTAGCGTAGAAGGTATTATCGTTAATAAATCGTTAATAAAAAGTAATAAAAAAGGGTATAAGGGATTAATAAAAAAAGGTATAAAACTCTATAGTAATTATAAGTAAAAGAGTTAAAGAAGAAAAGAAAATAGAAAAAGTAAGAGATATATATATATACTCTTTATATTATAGTTCCGCGGCCGATATATAAGTAAAACTATAATAGTTACTTAGCGGTAACTATTAATATAATAACTATTAGCGTTATAGAGCGTAAACTAACGTATACTTATATAAGCGTATATATATAATATATAACTAAAACTACCTCTCTTCTTAACCGAATATATATAGTATAGTAAAAGCAATATATATTAAAGATATAGCCGAGACGTCTATAGAAGAGGGGAGATAATTATAAAAGCGCTACTAAGAAGTATAGGCTAATATAGTACTTAGGTATATAGTACTAATATATTAGTATAGTATTAGTAAGGAATTATACTTACCCTACTTATATATTATAAACTACTTACTATTCTAATAAAAGAGGAAGAGGTATAGGCTAATAAAGTACTTAGGTATATAGTACTAATATATTAGTAGGGTATTAGTAGGGAATCGTGCCTACCCCGCTTATATATTATAGACTACTTACTATTCTAATAAAAGAGGAAGAGGTATAAGCTAATAAAGTACTTAGGTATATAGTATTAATATATTAGTAGGGTATTAGTAGGGAATTATACTTACCCCGCTTATATATTATAAACTACTTACTATTTTAATAAAAGAGGAAAAATCCCTTTTCTTATAAGCTTTATTCTTATAACGAGGAGAATATAATATATATAGCGTAGTACCTCTAGCTATCTTTACTACCTAACTAATTATACCGTAATATATATCTCTTTATATACTAAAAGATCTTAAAATAGATAAAAGAGTATAAAGCACTAAATAGATATAATATAAAATATTTAAAAGTTTTAATATATAAAAATAAAATCTAGATACTACTAGAATTATAATATAAAGTTATATAAGATATATATAAATATTTAATATATAGATACTAAGGAATCTAAAGAGTATTAAAACGGATTAAATAATAATATAATAACTTCTTATAGCTTAAGAAAGTAGTATAATAAGTTATTAAAGAATATAAACTTTATATATAAAGTAAAGCTAAACGATATAAACTATATAGAGAGTTATAACCGCTACTAAAACTAAAGAAACTATAGGATTTAATAGCTTTTAATTATATTATAAAGCTACTACTATTAAAAGAACCTATAACTAATATTAAGTATAATAGTATATTTACTATTACTAATAGACTAATAAAGTATAGGTACTTCTTACTATATAAAGAAGTTAGTAATATAAAAGAGCTAGTATATATATTCTTATAAACTATTATTAGTAATTATAGACTACTAAATAAGATTATCTTTAATAAAGGAAGTATATTTATAGCTAAGTTTTAGTAAGCTCTTATAGTATAATTCTCGCGAAGAGAGATACGAGAAGTGCATGAAAATGCACGAAGGTAAAATTAGAAGTAAGGGGTCGGACAGGCAGGGCAGAGGGATTTAATTCTTACGGGGGCAGCAATAAAGGTAGGGGAGTGATTGTTGTATTGCCTTAATTGTCCTTCTTTCCTCTATCTAACGCCCCTCTTTATACCCTTCTAGCATCTCAATTGACAAAGAAGATCCTGCTTAAAGAAGCCACTAATGTCCCTTTAACTACCGAGCTTTTTGCCGGTTTTTCCCCTCCTTTCTAGCCGTTGCCGGCGCATCCGTCTTATCTCTCGCCACCTCCATAGGAAGCCATCGCCACTCCTGCTTCCCCTTATACCCCTACCCTCCTCTCTGCACCTCCTTTTAGCTCCTTCCTTAAAACCTGTTTTTCAGCTTCCTAGGTCCCTCGTGCCAAGGGATATCTCCGAGAACTGCGAAATCAGGCCACGCTTCGCGACACACCCCCTTAGCTATGGCCTGCCCCTTAAGGGCATAGCTAATACGGCTTCGGGCTAGTGAGCGTATAGAGGAGGTTCTTAGCTCTGCACTTCTCCCTTTACTCGAGGAAAGCAGGGGCCCTTTCGGGTCCCTAGGCTCTTTTAGACCTACTTTAAGGAAAAGGGGCCTTAAGGAGGAAATTAAGTCCTATAAGAAAGGGGAAAACCCAATTAAAATAGGGGCCCTCTAGGGAAAAACCTCTTCCTTTTCTTCGGCTGCAGACGTTACCTTCTCGTACGGGCTATTAGCTCCTCTCGTAGACTCTTAAGGCGGGCCTCTAAGGACAGCTTCTCTCGAACGTCTTCTAGCCCAATTTGCTATAAGAAGACAGCTAGCTTCTGCTTCGGCAGGGGCTTCGTAAGACCGTCGGCTTTTATTAATGCCGTTAGAACCTAACGGACGGAAATAAGTCCCCTTTAGACCTCTTAGCGTAACCAATGCTAGTGGATATCGATATACCGTAGCCGGGTCGATAGCTTGCTATTTTCCTCCGTAAGAATTCGTATAGTCTACGTGTTATCGCATTCTATAGCTAACGGGGACGGAATTTGCAGTCGTAACGATATTAGTAGCCGGCTAAGGAAAATCGCTTCTTTTAACGCTTCTAAAAGAGCTAGTAGCTCTGCCTCCGTACTAGAAGTCGTAACGGTAGCCTGCTTCGAAGCTCTCTAAGCAATGGTTCCTCTAAAAAGGGATATAATATACCCCTATAAGCTCTTTCTATCTAAGGAATTGTCCGCAAAGGACGAATCGCTCGAATAGAGGAAGATTTCGGCAGCTTGTTTCCTTCCCTGCCCTCCTAGGCGCAGACCATATGATCTCGTTAAATAGAGATAAAGGATAGCTCTATCTGCTGCTTCTTAATGCCTAGGGCTAGGATTCTGGTTATGCCTAGCTAGCCGGGAGACCGTAAAAGAGATATCCGGTCTAGTAGAAATAGCTAAAAAAAGCAGGGAGCCTACCTTCTATTGATATTAGTGTTTCTCTTGCTCCCTAGCTTAAAAGGACGGATTAGGCAAAAGCTCTTCGTCTAATATAGGCGTAGAGGGAAGCTTCTTATCGAGGGATTTAAGGAGGAATTTATAAGCGACCTTATCGATATAGGCGTCCTAGGTAAGCTAGATAGTCCGTTAGGACCTATTCCGAAGGATTCGTATCCCTAGGAACCACTTTAGCTCCCCTAGCCTAGTTATCTTATACCTTTGTTATAGGCCTCGTATAGCCTCCCTAGCAGCAGCTTCTTCCTCTTTCGGGTACGCCTAGATAATGTCGTCGACGTAGAAGAAGACCGTGATTTTACCCTTCTACATTATACACGGTTCCTAAGGGACTTTCGTAAAGCCTAGGGCTTCGAGGGAACCTATTAAATGCTATTACTAAAGAAGGGGTG